TTCTTAATAGATATATGTATAATAACACATATTTTATTCCAAAATATTATGTTGAAAGCTCAGGGGTAGGTGAAAGCCCAGTGAAATATGTTTGACAAAATTCATATTAATATATTTTAAGATCCTTCCCTATAAATAACAACGTCTGTCATAGCATACCGAAATCTTACTTTGAAAGCTTATGAAGTGTGAAAGCTTAAAGCGAGCAATTTTTCAAAATTCCTAAAAATATTTACTCTTGAAATTAGCAATCTGGCCACCTTAATACACTTCACTTAGCCCACATGAGTCCATTGTATGCTTCTTAACATAGCCAGCTGCCATCTGCTTCCCGCTGTTACACACAGCGAGCAACGTGCTGACGTTTGCCCCACACCCAACACCCGACACCCGACACCAAAGCCGAAAAAGCTACACCGCTCTGTCGTCTCCATGCTAACATACATATATAACATGTTTGGCAAGATGACAGCGTTGCCTGCCGCTTGTTGCTGCTCGCACACTGGTTACCAGTTGCCGTTTGCTGGCCACTGTCGGCTTTTGGCTGTGGGCTGTCCACTGCCATTGTCGTCAATTCGCCGTTGGCGGCGACCACTTGTTTGCTGCGTTTGCATTATAGTTCGCAATGTCATTTTGTAATTATTTCCCTCTTTGTTGTTGTGTGCTTTTCATGTTTCGTTGATAAGGCAATGTTGTTCGGCTATTTAAAAGCAGCCGCCATCGAGCAAGTTACAAGCGAAACTTTTTTGGCAACGCAAATAATGCAACAATAAAAATATTTGGCAGCCATTTTCGTGTTGCCATGAGTGGGAAGCGTCGCCAAGCGGGTGGTTGAGTGTACTCGTAAGTAGTTTTGGCCGGGGGTGCGATAGAATAATTGAAAAGTAGCAGAGCTTAACTTTTTAGGGTGGAGATTTAAATGTGTGGGTAGTGCTTTAAAAGTTGATATGCTAAAAATCTCTTCTCGAATATTTTTATTTTTTAATTGTAGCAAAGTTTGTCGTTTGATCAAGATTGTTGATTGGGCGGGAATTTCATTCACTAAATAGAGGCTTTTAATATGAATTTAATAAGCAATAATTCAGCTAGTTAATATACAGGCGTAGGAGTTACTTAGTTAAATATGAAGGTAGCTGGGAGTTTAAACCTTCCTTCGGCATTATCAAGAGAGCTGAGGCCTTTATTAAATCTCTCTGTCTCTCTCTCTCAATAGGGCTGAAACTTTATTCAAACGCAAATCTCATATTAATATAGCAATAAATTGGTTAAAAAAACTGGAAATTAGTCAAGCTCCTCAGATCAAGCTGGGTTGATCAGGCTATAAAGATCTCAAACATAAGTACTTTAAGTGGTTCTGTATAAAAATTGTCAACCTTAGGCAGGTATTATTGAAAAAAATTAATATATACTCTATACCGACCGTCAACTTCGAGTTATCATTAGTTTCTACAGCTCAAGAGACATCTTCATCGAATGCAGACGTATCGTCTTATTTATCGAACACCATAATCCGTTATTTCGTAAACTCAAATCAACATATTTTAATAACATTTCGCGGAACTGAGAGGTTTCGCTTCATCATTCACTGGCATTCTAAACCAAAAAGACCCTGGCATTTCCATCGCGGTTCGTCGTCTCCAATTCGGAAATATTCTTTGGGTGCCAGTACGATATTTCTGTCATATTTCGGTGAGAGTACGCAGAGAGTAAATAATACACATTAATAGCAATGATGTTCTCAGAAAAGATTTCATTGGCATTGTTCCGTCGTCAAGCTCGCTCGTTGCTTGCCAATTTTCTTTTATGGCATATGCTATTCTATTTAGTTAAGTTACTTTGGGTCTCAGCTTTTATTCTTAGCAATATGGTATATTTGATGTCCAAACAACAAAAAAAAACAACAGTGACACAGTTTAGCTAATTTCAAGTCTCTCTTATATAGCATATTCGCTCTGGTGCTAGCGCTGTCTTCGAATATTCTTTGTATATTTTGTACCCTCTGCTAGTTGTCAAAAAATATTTACCTGGATTGAGGGTTTTAGTTCTATGCATTCAGAAACAGAATGTTTTCGAACTTTTTTCTAATTAATTTCTGCAAAGTTCCAAAATCTTATAGAAAGCCATTTTTGATCCTTCCTTGACATTGGTCTTCAGTGACCTTTTTATGACACTCCTCTTATGTATGAAACTCCTCATATAACTAATCGGATTTAGGACCGCTTCAAAGGACGCCGCGCTTATTGCCACACTGCGATTAACAAATTTTCAATGCCTCAAAACTATTAGCTCCTCAGTTTTCGGACACTAAATGCGCATCAGTCATAATATTATAGCGAGACACTTGACAGTAATGTCAAATATTGTTATTGTTTTTTTTATAAAAAAAAAGGTAAATAAAATTACGCAAATATCCTGCCAAGGCTTACAAATACGTCACATAAAGCCAATTTATACGCAACTCATTGAGGCAAACTCATAAACAGTTCAATTGTCTGATGTTTTTTGCTCATTTTCGCTGCGCCTTCATTGACATTTTCGCTCTCATTGTCACAGGACATCAATGCGCCGCTGTCTATTATCCTGTCTGACTGTGTCACAATAAACAGGCAAGTGAGGCAGTGCCTACACTGAAAACAACATTTATTGCAGTGATGTGTGTGTGTGTGTGTAACTGCATTTGCCGACATAACTGCATTTTGCCGCACAACAACAGTGCGCTCAAGCCTTGTCGCGTTGCTCATCAGCCTTTGTTGCATATTTTTGCCCATTCGTGACACGCTCTTTTGGCAAAAACAACAGCAAAGCAAAGAATATTCACTTGTTTATTTGTTTTTATACGTTGCGGTTCATTACGTTTGTCTTTTTAAACAAAAACAATAAAAAATACAACAATTTTTTCAAAGTGTTTGTTGTAAGGCAGACTCTATTCTCAGCTTATCTTTGATATCTTACCGCTGCTGAGCATTTGTGAAAGATCAAAGATTAAGCCGATACTACTCAATAGCACCCATAACAATTCCTTTACTTTTATGACTCACACATAACGGCTATTATAATCCGTTTTTTTCATTTGAAGAAGTGTCCAGTATAAAACTATTTTAAGCTACTAAAATAATTAATTTTATTGCGATTGCTTACTTGTATAATTTCTCAACAAATTATTTAAACGATCGCATTTTCACTACAAACATAATTTTCTACTCAAGCCGTTGTCGTCGTAGTCAGACTCAGACAGCTCTTGCTCCTTTTGTTGAATCTTCTTTGCTCGCATGTTCGGTATTGCTTCGGGTTTCCCCTCACACATTTATTTTCTCTTTACTGGATCATTTATCGCATGACTTTGCATATTTAGTGATTAGCCGGTGTAGAATTTCGACGATCAGTTTGTAGCTCCTCGACTCGCGAGACTCTTTGAAACGTGTAGGCTGCATATGGCAGTCAGTATGCAAATAAAAGGTGCTCCTTTTTGTAACACCAGATTTGGTCTTAACAACGTTCATGCCCCATCTTGATATCCTTGCAGTTATAGCCTCGGAGTGTACTGCTCACATTTCTTTGGAACTAATTTTAGAACCCAAAATTTCTAAAAAAAATGTTAGTATAGCGCTAGCTCTCATCATATATTCTAAGCACTTTAAACATCCTAACCAAAAACGATCTTTTGGCACCCTTTAAATAGAAATACTTATTCTCTTCAAAGAACCTGTTAGTCTAGCGTTGTTTTCTACTTATTAGCTATTACTTTCAGTGATTAAAAACGCAAACCTACCCAAAATAAACAAAAAGAAGATGAGAATTCTAAACAAAAAAAAAGAAGAAAAAAATACGCCGACACATCGCCGATCTTTAGATGCCGAACGCGTTTAATGATTTTGATTTTCAGGTGTCATCGTCAACACATTTCCTCTTGTTCTTTTGCTCTACTATACACTTTCAACTTTCAACAGCCCTTCTTTGATGTAATCTTCGTCATATTGCTATTACTCGCTGTCGTACAACAAGCTTAATATCAAGATCGTTATCACAGCGACGATCTATTGTAATACATTATTTGTATTTGTAAGTAACATTGATCGACAATTATGAAAAGTTGTGAACTCTTGCGCCCTCTAATGCCCTCTGATGCCAGCAACGATCGAACGATCGTTAGAACGAACAGCAAACGCCACATACACGAATGTATGCTTCGTATGCTTAGTTAGGTTAGATTGCACGTTCGTTCGTTTGATCGCTTGCTTACTAAGACGATCAAAGTGAGAATGCCGCCAAATAAAATCAGTTGGTTGATTTGAGTCCAACAAATGATTTGATGATGATTTTCAAATTATCAAATAAATGATCTGTAATTTTCGGTAATCTTTTCAACCTGTACAATTATACATATAAGTAGAAGAAAATCGAAAGCCGATCGTTCAATACATAAACGATGAGTAGACGAAAATGTCATTTGTAAAAGAGCGAATGTGGCAAGTGTGTTTTTTTTTTGTGTTTCTTCTTGGGGCCACACTAACTAACTTCGTCGTTATAGTAGTAGCGCGTTAGTGGACTTGCCGCACGGCAGGGGTGACTAACTGTCAACTGTTCATTAGTTAGTCTTATTGGCGGCGGCGGCGGCAACTCTTTCATTTCCATGTAATGACTTTAACAAATGCTTGGTTGCTTTCGGCTACCATGCAAGCCAGACGAAAGGTCGGCTCGACTACTTAGTACCAACTAATTTGTCGCTTAATGTGTCGCATTAAGGCCGGAGTGAAATTTGTACGTCAATTTCTCTTAATTGGACCAGTGCGGCATTGATGTAGAGATCAAGCGATAGTCGGCTAGTTGGTTAGACGGCGCTTGGTTGCAGCGCTAATTTGTGTTTAATGATTACTTCTTTTCTGAATTTTTATTTTTATTTTTTATGGTTTTTGTTTTGTTCTGCCCACTTCGCTAACAGTTGCGCATTTCAATTTGCTTTCTATTGATCTACAAATTCCTTTCTGCTACATATCACTTACCACCTAATATGCCGTGTATACTATAATCCTTGCGTCCATCTTCACTGGTTCGATCATTACCTCGCAATAGACGACTGATGGACGATGTAGATGGCGGATCGGTGAAACCCTCCTGAAATTACAGATTTTCAAAAAAGTTTGTTTTAGTTAAAAAGTGTTTAGTTTTACGTTGTTATAAATGATAAAAAATAAAAGTTTATACAACTATTGGAATCTCTAGTTGATGTAATTAGTTGCATTGCTCAATTGAGTCAGCTGGTAATTAAAAATATGATATTAATTATGATATATTTTTTTCAAATTTTATGCAAATATCCTCAAAACATTATATAAGTGCTTAGATTCCACAAATACAACTTTTAATTTCAAAGTTATACGATTAAGTGAGCCTCTATAAAGCCACTATGGGTGGATTGAAACAACATTTTTGTAAAAATATTTAAAAATATTTTTATAGCTATTCTCATAAATTAAAAATTATCCTATTTTCAATCCAGGTTTTGGTACTATTAAGCAATTTTTTTCCTCAATCAAACAAGTTGTCACTTAATTTAACCAAAAAAGTAGAACAATTTTGCAGCGCAATCAAACAAATAGCACTGCATATAACCTAAAAACTAACCGAAACTTCAAAGTAAATTAAATTTATAGGTGACTTACATATATCCATACAAATAATTTTATATGGTATAAATACACGTATATATTTACTCTGCGTATACATTATTGCGAGCTCACATTGATCTCACAAATAAATCAATTTGAATACAATTTCGATAAGCCTCATTAAAGCTTCTGTCTGTATGCTGTTTGTATGGTTTTCTTTGATAAGCTTTGTTTATTTCATAATAAATAATAGACTTGTTGAATTCTAGTTGGAAACATATACTCGTACATACATACATATATCCCATGCATAACTTAAATTTTTCGTGTTTAATTAAGAGCTAAAAATAAAATTTGTTGGACTTTGTGTATATGAATTTGTTTAAAAAAAAATTAACGTAAAATTTTAACATTTGAAATATGCTTGTGTGGAATCATGATAGTAAGTAGCTACATATATTTTTTATGCAAATTTTTTTTAAACGTTTATTTCTTGTGTTCGATTATAAATAATATTTAAAATGAAATGTCAAATTTTGAAAATTTTTGTTAAAAATTTTTTGAAACATTTTGTTTTGGTTTTAGCTTATAAATAATATCTAAATTTATATGTATGTACATACATATATTTGTACATATATCAATATTTGAAATATTAAATAATAAAAAAGTGATAAAGCCAGCGTCTGATTTATATTCGCGCTGACTGTAATTATACCCTGAACAGGGTTCATAAAGTTTGCCACAATAATTGTAACACCCAAAAGGAAACGTTTAACAGCCTTTAGAGTATATATATATATATAAATGATTAACGTGACGAGCTGAGTCGATTTAGCCATGTCCGTCTTTGTGTCCGTCCGCCCGTTTGTCTGTATAGATGGTAAGCAAATTAGTCCCTCGTTTTTGAGATATTGATCAGAAATTTTGCACACACTCGTTTCTCACTAACAAGCTGTTCATTTGTCGAAACGGTCGATATCGGATCACTATAACATATAGCTGCCACACAAACTGAACAATCGGAATCAAGTGCTTGTATGGAAAACTTTTTCGTTTAACGAGATATATTCACGAAACTTAGCACATACTAATTTCCAAGACAACGCTATTATCTGCGAATATATTGTTCTGATAGTCACTATAGCATATAGCTGCTATACAAACTGACCTGAACGTAATCAATTTCTTGTAATGAATTTATTGTATTGTATATGTGAAGGGTATTGTAGCTTCAGTGTAAAGGTAGTAAACGGGGTTTCTTGTTAGTAAACTTTTTAGTTCTTAAGTTATATTTTCTAGTATTAATAATATTTTTTTATACAAAATAAAATTAATAAAATTATAAATTCTTATAATAAATAAAATGAATAAATTATAAATAAAAATTATAAATTCTTTTTGCAAAAGTCTTCTTTAGCCAACACTAGTTGTCTGATTATTTTTATCTGTTTCTACTTTTATCTTTGAAATCTTGAAACTTTTTGCTTTTTTTATTTCTATTTTTTTCTCTTTCTTTTCTTTTCCTTTCTATTTGCATCTTTGAAACAGTAAAATATTTTGCTTTTCCTGTTCTTTCTCTTTTATTTCTTATCCACTTTAATCTTTGAAATCTTATAATTATTTTCTTTTTCCACTTTAATCTTAAAAAATTTGTTTTGTTATTGCTTTTCGCAATACTAACAGCGTTGCAAATAGCATTTCGTAGTTTATACATATAAATGGCCAAGTTAACAGTATTGCCAACTTCCGGCAATTGTTGTCAAACTTAAAGTAAATTTAAATGTCAATTGCAAACTTGACAGAAACAAAGTTGGAAAGTTGCAACTGCGGAACTTTGGTCAAAAAAGCTGTTTCGTTTGCATAGAAAAAAAAAAAAATAAAACACAAAAAAAAACCAAAACCAAGAAAAACAAAAACAAAAAAAAAAAGATATGCTGCTTCTTACTCTGAAAATTATAGTTTATTAAATATAAATATATTTCAATTTATGTCTGTTAAATGCAAATATTCATAAAACATTTCGAAAATATATGTTATTAACTGCGAAATGACCAAAAATTTCTTAATTATTATCTTATTCTTTTTTTACTTCCAGTTCGGGTTCATCGCAACAAATTTGAAAAAATTGCAGTACGAATGGATTTCAGCACTTAGCTTCGTTTACCGTTAATAAATACCAAAACCAATATTTGCACCAACTACCGAAATTATTGTATAAATAATTACCCATTCATAATAAAAATGATGAAAAGTGCAAATATGCTTAAATGCAAGCTCATTAAACGAAAAACCGTAGGTGTAGCAATTTTGTTAAATTGCCAGAAAAATGGCCAGATTCGTTGCAGTCCTTGATATTGACCGTTAAACACAAAGGTGAGTTTAGCATAGCGGCTGAAATTGTTATTTACCGCAATATGACCGTTAGCATTACCGTACACTGCTAAATTTTGTTAATTTGTTGATAATTTTGAATTTTGGTTTTAATTTGTTACACATCAATGCACATTTGTATATATATTAGGGTGGAGCGAAAAACAATTTATTTTTAACATCTAAAGGCTCAGTTTTAAAGTAAGTTTTCGAGCTAAAATTTTTATTTCGTAAAAAATTTTTGATAAGTGTTCTAGAAGCTGTGTAGAGTTCTCTTTTTAGCCGTTTCAAAGTTATCAATTTAGAAAAAAAATTGTGGTCATTATTGTAGTTTTAAAACAAGTCTTTAACGACAACATGCTTTTCTTAAGCATTAAAATAAATTTTTATTCAAAAACCGCCACATTCGGTAATTTTTATGTAAATGTAAAGAGTTTAAACCAAATATAATATTTTCTTGTCCAAAAAAAAATGTTTACTCGAAATTTACTTTTAAACTGAGTAGACCTCTAGATGTTAAAAAGAAATTTTTTTTGTTCAAAAATTTTCTTTTTTAATAATCTACAGATTTTACACTCAGGCTAAGTAAAAAAAAATTTTTTTTCGTTCCACCCTAATATATAATGTACATATGTATATACACATTAGGGTGCGCAAAAAAACAACGAATGTTTTTTTTCGCTTAGTACTCTGAAAAGTACTCTGAGAAATAGTTTCATAGACTCCACTAAGGAAGTCTTTTCAAGTATGAGCTACTAATTGTAACGGCAAGGTCCTCCGCCTTACAGTTATCTATTATTTTCATATTACCAGATAGAATAATTCAAGTCTACAATTACTACTTGAAAAGATATCTTAAATCATAGATTTTCTAGGTAACTGCATGCTCTTAAATAAATATCTGTTACGATTCTTTCGTAAACCAAGACGTTTAAAAGATATTAACGTTTAAAGTCTGATTATTTTAGGGCAAAATTTTTTGGTTTTTATGAATGTTATAACTCAATGAAAAAAAAAATCACTATAAATAGGAAAACTCATAGTTTTGTAGGAAGTTTACTGCTCTATAAGGAGATTGGCTTTCGTAGAGTGTCTGATTCTTTGACTTTGATATATTGCATAGTTGCCATATCAATCCGATGTAGCGCCTGCTTTGGTGGCGCGAAAACTGGTTAGTATTTCGCATGCTACTTCGGTTTCTTTTTTTATTTTTTCACAACTTTGCACAATAAATTTTATGAACTTCGCGTCACTTCATTCCACACCTCAATTTCTCACAAAAGTAAAAATAAATATAAAATACAAAAACCTTTCCGAGCAACGCGCAAAAGTGTGACACTAATGCAATCGCATTTAAATGTACACAATTTTGATGGATGGATTAATCCAATTAAAAAGTACATACCAATTTACATACAGACATTCATCAGCAAGCCGCAGCCACGGCGTTAAACAATAACAAGTAGAAACGGAGACAAGAAAGGCAAAAACGAGTAATCTCTACAGAAACGAAATCGAAATGCATAATCGCCTGATGTTTCGGACGCGGCTTCTTACTCTACATGCACACACATATATATTATATATATATATATATATATATTATATGTTTGTCGGTTGTTTTAACGCATGACCGCTCGCGCTGCGCAACCGCAAAGACATGTCAAACACGCGCTTAATGCTGACGTTTAGACCGAACGACCAGCTACAGCGTCAACCGTGCCGCAGGTGCTAGCGCGTGCGCTCAACTCACGCTCGGACTTACATAGATCCGCGTTGCGGCAATTGCAGCCGAGCTTGAGCGGTTCTGCGCATTGCAGTTTGCCGCCTGCTCACCTGCGGTGGTTTCTTGTCTGATTTCTACTTCTTTTATTAGTTATTTCTTTGATGAGTAGTGGGAAAAAATGGGCTGGAATGGTGGGTGTGACGCGGGTGGATCCCATGAGATGTTGAAAGCATAAATTAACGTTGAAATAATTTTATATTTCTCTGTGAGATTTAGAGCTCGCTTTACGCTCGTGGAATTCCGTTAGTCGTGAAGCCAAAATATTATCTACTTTTTCCATTCGAATACCGAAAGCACTCCTTAGGTGAACAAGTTACTGTCCTTTATATTAGGATGGGTTGAATGCC